CGACTCCACGGCACTTAACAACAACAACACACTGCCATCTTTGTGTTTTGCCTTTGCCATCTCTCCACACCTTCCCCCTCTTATCAGATTCTTGACCATTACAAATACCATCTTTTGCCTAAATAAATATTTGGTACTAATATTCTTTTTTATTTAAACTTTGTATTGTGAATTGACTGAAGGTTTACGGAGTAGATCATCAGGTTTACATTCAACACATCATACATTTTGTCTCATTTCCATATTAGCATCCCCTCTGCTGTAACATCAGGGAATAGGTCTGACTTTTACTCCCCTTCAGGATACACTCCTTTCTGTGTCCGCCCCCTACATTGTCTTTCCTGTGCTAACCTCCCTCTTGTATATTGCCTTTCCCATCACCCACCTTAACCGATCTACCCTCTTGTTGTTGTTAAGTGCCATCGAGTCGGTTCTGACACATAGTGACCCTGTACAAGGATTCCTAGGAGCAGTGGGTGAGTTTGAACCACCCACCTTGCGGTTCAAAACAATATTGTAGCCAAGTGCTTATTCTACAGTGCCACACCAGACCCTCTAGTCGGTGAATAATTCTTCCTTCCCTCCCTCCCACTCCTGGTAATCATCATAGAGTACTTTTTTATCCATGAAAGCATTTTCGTATCTTGCACAATATTTGTTCTTTCGTAATTGACTAATTTCGCTCAGCATAATATCCTCCAGGCTCATCCATGTTTTGAGATGTTTTGCAGTTGTTAATCTTCAACACTGTAGTATCCCCTTGTGTGTCTATATGCACCAAAGTTTGTTTAGCCATTCTTTCATTGATGGGCATTTAGGCTGTCTCTGTTTTTGCTGTTGTGAAGGTGCCGGGCATTGCATTGGTTCTAATTCATATTGTTGTTGTTGTTAAGTGCTGTGGAGTCGGTTCTGACTCATAGCAACCCTGTATAGGGTTTCTGAAAAGCAGCTGGTGAGTTTGAATCGCCAGTCTTGCAGCTCAAACCTACCTTGTGGTCCAGTGCTTGTCCTAAGGTGCCACAGGTCACCGATGAGCTATCACAAGTGCTTACAGACAAATGCTCTAGAAATCCAATCTGTACTCATTTTAGCAAGACTGAGATTTTCTTTATTGGATTTTACAAAATCAGGTACCCAACCCAGTTGTTGTTAAGTGCCGTCCCCCATAGCGACCCTGAACAGGGTTTCCGAGGCTGTAAATCTTTACGGGAGCAGATTGCCTCATCTTTCTCCCATGGAGCAGCTGGTAGTTTCGAACTGCTGACCTTGCGGTTCGTAGCCAATTCGTAACCACTACACTACCAGAGCTCCTGACCCAAGTGTTGTTGTTGTTGTTGTTAAGTGCCATCGAGTCGGTTCCGACCCATAGCGACCCTGTACAGGGTTTCCGAGGGTGTAAATCTTTACGGGAGTAGAAAGCCTCATCTTTCTCCCGCGGAGCGGCTGGTAGTTTCGAACCGCTGACCTTAAGGCTCGCAGCCCGATTCGTAACCACTACGCTACCAGAGCTCCTGACCCAATAGACACAGGCAAATGTGCCCATGACTGGCTTGCTCACAAAGAGTTTTCTTCCTGTTTTCCTTTCCCCAGTTAACATGCAGTTCACAATCCTGACCCAATGGTGCCTTAATGACTGTGTTCTTATTTAAAGCTCCTAGTCCTAGAACCACTACACTACAAGGTGTCCTGGTGTGGCGCTGTGGGTTAATGCGACAGACTGCAAAGTCGTTTGAACTGTAAGGTCGGTGGTTCAAGCTCACCAGCTGCTCCTTGGAAACCCTATACAGGGTTGCTATGGGTCAGAACTGACTTGCTGGCACTTAACAACAACACCTACATATATTTAGAAGCTCGAGTGGCACAAAGGTTAAATGCTCTGCTGCTGACCAAAATGTCAACAGATCAAGCCCACCGAAGGACAGCTTCAGTTCATTGGAAGCAAAGACCTGGTGATCTGTTTCTATCAAAATGGTTTGGTGTTGTCCTAGGGACCGTCGAGCCAGTTTGGTGTTGTCCTAGGGACCGTCGAGCCAGTTTGGTGTTGTCCTAGGGACCGTCGAGCCAGTTTGGTGTTGTCCTAGGGACCGTCGAGCCAGGTTGGTGTTGTTTTAGGGACCGTGGAGCCAGGTTGGTGTTGTCTTAGGGACCGTCGAGCCAGTTTGGTGTTGTTTTAGGGACCGTGGAGCCAGGTTGGTGTTGTTTAAGGACCGTGGAGCCAGTTTGGTGTTGTCCTAGGGACCGTCGAGCCAGTTTGGTGTTGTCTTAGGGACCGTCGAGCCAGTTTGGTGTTGTCTTAGGGACCGTCGAGCCAGGTTGGTGTTGTCTTAGGGACCGTCAAGTCAGTTTTTTTGACTCCTAGTGATAATACAGGACAACACTGTACCACCCTCACCATTGTCACTGTGCTTGAGCCCACTGCTGCTGCCACTGTGTCAGTCAGTCCATCTCATGAGGGGCTTCCTCTTCTTCAATGACCCGTAACTTCACCAAACGTGATGTCCTTAAAACACGGCCAAGGCGCATGAGACAAAGTCTCCCCAGCCTCCTTTCAAAGGGGCGTTCTGGATGTACTTCTTCCAAGACAGATTGATTTATTCATTCTTCTGCCAGTCCAGAGTATTTTCCATAATCTTCAACAACACCATAATTCAAAGGCATCAATTTTCCTCCAGTCTTCCTTAATCATCATTCTGCTTTCGCATGCATATGAGACTACAGAAAACCCCCATGGCTTGGGTCAGGTGTACCTTAATCCTCAAGGTGACATCTTTGCTTTGTAACACTTTAAAGAGATCTTTTATATGTTGTTTCATTTGCTGACTGCTGCTTCCAGGGGTGTTGATTGTAGATCCAAGTAAAATGAATGCAACTTCTATCTCTGCACGCTTCTTCATCAAGAGGTTGCTTAGTGGGCCGGTTGTGAGGATTTTTCTTTTCTTTATGTTGAGGTGTAATCCATACTGAAGGTATCTTTGATCTTCACCTGTAAGGAGGGCTTTATGTCCTCTTCATTTTTAGCAAGCAAAGTTGTCAGCTGCATACTGCAGGCTGTTAGTGAGTCTTCCTCCAATTCTGATGCCACATTCTTTTTCTTATAGTCCAGTTTTTAAAAATTATTTGTTCAACATACAGATTGTTGAAATACAGTGATGAAACAATACAATCCGGGGCAAACCTTTCCTAATTTGAAACAGTTGATTCAGCACTTACATGTCTTTAAGAGCATTTTCTTACTTTTTAATTGTACTTTTTTTTTTTTTTTACAGCATCCTGTTCTTGTTTCATGAATGTAGTATTCTTATCTCTCTAAGATGATCATTTCTAATGTTATCTTTGTCTGTTTCTCTCAAATTCATCTACTGCACCCTTCACTTTGTTCTCTCCTTCTTTCACATTAGAGACTTTTCCTAAAATGTCTGATGACTGTCAGTTTTATTTCAGCATAAATCGGCAAACAGTCCATTAGAAGTTCTGTGTGTTCCTGGTCGGGGGGGGGGGAGGGGGGAGTAGGACACACAAAATGTTGGTCCTGACAAATGAGTCACTGCAGGGGGGACATTCATTTGTGCGGATGTGTGTGGACATTGATCTGCCATGCTATCTGGTTTGGAATGTTCTGGAACCAAAATAAGCAAGCTCCGTGTGCAGGCCCAGCAGGCTGCCAAGGCTAGACATCCATGGCCTGCTGCCATCGGTTACTTCTGGTGTAACCAGGTAGCTAGGGCAAGGGGCTGGGAGGAGGCCCGGGAGAGGCCCACTCCCTGTATGTTGGCTGGTATGTGGGAGAGAAACAGAATCCATGTGCCGAGGCACCCCACCGTAGTTGTTGAAGCTCATCTTTTCCACCCACTACATGGATGGGAGGGTGTCTGCTGGAAGCTGGGGCAAGGCGAGCAGGGCCCCAGGTGCCAGGTCTGTGTGTTCCCTCATTCCAAATTGTTAGTGTGTGCCCTTTTGCAAACATCTGAGTGATCTGAGTGGCCCTCTGCCCCGGGGAGGTGACCGTTCCCACCTCCTCAGCTCCTTCTCCAATGCCTCTTGGCTTGGCTCCTTCCAGCTGCAGAGGGTCCCCTGGATGTTGGAGGGATGCCCAGTCTGGGTTTCAGCTTTCAGATGGGGAGAAACATGTGAGGATGGGGAGGAGGTGGCCCTCCAATAGATCAGCCTGATACAGGCCATCTGGTCTCAGAGGGCAGTCCAGGAAAGGGGACAGAAGTACCACAGCCACCCAGAGCCTGGTTTCCCCATCAACCCAAAGGGAGGTTTGTTCATGGTCTGCTTCTTCAATCAGTAGCTCACAGCTGGAGTTTTCATAAGGAGCTCTGGCAGTGCAGAGGTTAAGCACCCGACTGCTAACCGAAAGGGTGACACCGCAAACTCTCCCACGGAAGAAAGACTGGGAGATCTACTTCAGTCAGGCTGACAGACTAGAAAGCTCTACGGGGCAGTTCTACTCAGTAACACCCCAAAATAACCGATTCCATGCCATCCTTCCCGGTCCTGTAATGCCACCCAAGTCTGGGCTGCAGAGGGGAAGGCTATGTATGGGACAGGTAGGCCTCTATCCTCCTCAGGCTATGGGAGCATTTTGGTGGGGAGACAGCAAGAGGCTGGGGATGGGTGCAGTGGAGAGAGACTGGGGTTGGTTGGAGAGGGTGGTCACCAGACTTGAGTTGTGCTCACACTCTGTCCCCTTCTGTTTCCCCACCCATCCCCTTCTCTTGTCTGCCCACCCTCTCATTCCGTTTGCTGGTTGTCTCTCCCACTGTTTTGCTGCCTCCATGTCGCCCTTCCTCTCGTTATTTCTGTGTTCTCCGTGTCTCGGGTTTCCCCGGGGATTGCTCTCTCTCCTTGGGGGCCGTGTCCCTCCCTCTGTCCCGTTCTGTCTGTCTTGCCTACCTCTCGGTCTTCCGGCGGTGCCCCCTGCCTGTGCGTCCCCGGCCGGCCGCGCGGTGGCGCTGCTGCACCCCGCTCGCCCACGCGCCGCCGCTCGCCCGCAGCCTGCAAGCGCAAGGAGCAGGAGCAACAGAAGGAGCGCGCGCTGCAGCCCAAGAAGCAGCGCCTGGTGTTCACCGACCTGCAGCGGCGCACGCTCATCGCCATCTTCAAGGAGAACAAGCGGCCGTCCAAAGAGATGCAGGTCACCATATCGCAACAGCTCGGTCTGGAGCTCAACACCGTCAGCAACTTCTTCATGAACGCGCGGCGCCGCTGCATGAACCGCTGGGCCGAGGAGCCCGGCGCCGCCCCTGGGGGACCGGCTGGAGCTGCCGCCACCTTCTCCAAGGCCTGAAGCGCCCCAGCCCCGTGCCCCGAGCCCATCTACTTATCCCCGCCCCCACCACACACACACCCTGCCAGCCCGGAGACCCGCCCCTAGGTGGCGCCTGGAGGGGGCGCTACCCGGGCCCCCCACACCCAGGGAGGGGACGTGGCACACACCCCAGCCCAAGTGCACAAAAGGGTCCCCCTCCTCCCTCCTTCCCAACTCCCCCCCCAGGCCAAAGGAATCCCTGTACCACCACCCCCACCAAAGGGGAGGGGGCTAACAGGAATGGGTTCCCCAGCCCCTCCTCACTTCAGGACGCCAGGGGGCCAAGAAAAAATCCAGGACTCCCTATGTGGTCCCCTAAAGCGGGTCTAGAAGCACATACTAGAAATATAAACCGGGTATTTAAAAAAAGGAATTTGAAGACTAGCCCCTCCCCCTCCAGGTCCCCACCCCCACAGTGGGAGGTTGGGAGGGTCTTCTTGTCGCCCCACCTCCCGTAGAGGAGGTGGCCCCCCCCCCCAACATCTCCAATAGTCGCCAAAACCTACAGTCAAGCTGGATCCTACCAATCCCCAATCCGCGAACCCACAAGCCGACCTTCCCCTCCAAACCCCAGTCGGTGGGTAAATCTGCCCCCCAGCCAAGAACTGAGCTGCCCCTCCCAGCGGCCAGGATTCCTTGTGCCAAGAATTGCCTGCCTTAAAGTCTGGGGAGGGGCCGGCCTCGGCTGACCGCCCAGCACCCACAGGCGAGCACTCTTTCCCCACCCCCATCCCAGACTGCTGGTGGGGATGGCGAGCTCTAACATGCGGGTAAAGTCCAGACGCCTCCCCTTCGCCCCCTTCCCTGACTCTTCCGCCCCTCCCTTTAGTTCACTTTACTTTTAGGCACCTTTGATGAATGACACACAGGGAAAGACATAACCCAGAAAACATCCAGATTCCACGGAGACACGAATACATAGGCAGTACCGAGCGCGCCCAGAGTCCTCGTGTGCCGGGGCCGGTGGGGTTTCTTTCTGCTCGGACCCCTCTGGAACTCCCCACTCCACCTCCCAGCCTGGCAGAGGTGCCCCGCTGGGCCTCCTGGGGAACCATGGGAGTGAACCTTGTGTTCGTAATCTCTCCAAAGAGAGAAAGAAAATGCCGAAGAAGGTGGAATCTGCTTACTCCATTTTTGCCAAAAAAAAAAAAAAAATTTTACAAGGGGGAAGGGAAGATGAACCTCTCCCCCACCCTCCCCTGCTGGTCTCCTCTCCTCTGGATGACTTCTTTGGCTGGTGGGCCGCTGGATCCCAAGAGCCCACCTTCCCTCCCTGGTGATTCTAGATGTGGAGGCTAGAAGGACGTTTCCCCTCACCCCCCACCCTGCCCCACTGCTGCCTCCCGAGGAGGGGGCTAGCCCACCCTTGAAAATGCAAGAGACATTTCCGGTGAAATGCCCCTCCCCCTCCCCCAGGTAAAGGCTACCTCACTCAAACGTTCATGTCTGTGATTGGAAAAATCACGCCTGATACCAAAGATTTTCCCCCAAGGACTTGTGCTGGATGCTGGAATTCCCTTACCTTCAGACCAGGTGTCTGCAAACCCTCCTCCCTGCCAGAGAGAGAGAGAGCCTGAGACGAGAGAGACAGATGAGAGAGAGAGACAGACAGACAGATAGACGAGAGATAGTGAGATCAATGAGTGCCTTTTTCTTGAACCAAAGATGTGTGTGGTGTGTTCTCTTGTCCTTACTGACTCACTATTCCCCCAGCTTCTGAAGCCACTGGATCTGAGTGATGCTTCTAGAACCTTTGGGTATGGGGCAGAATCCTAAAAGTAAAGAGGCCCCCTTCCTGATCAGCAACAAACCTCCCTCCCCAAAATACAGCACACACCCAGTATACACACAACACTACACATGCAGTGTACACACCCACACGCATACACACTGCACTATACACACACACACACACACACACACACTGGCTCTTTTGTAGGATGGCCCTGGGAGCTCTGGGTTGCTTGGCTACTAATTGAAACGTTGGTAGTTCAAACCTATGTAAAGATTTACAGCCTCAGAAACCCTATGGAGCAATTTTACTTTGCACTGTAGGAGCCCTGGTGTGGCGCTGTGGGCAGGACTGCGAGGTCGGTTTGAACCGCAAGGTGGGTGGTTCAAGCTCATCAGCTTAACAACAATAGGGTGGTTGTGTGGTGCTGTAAATTAAGCACTGGACCCTGTGTTAACCACAGGGTCCGTAGTTCAAACCCACCAGCCGGTCCTTGGAAACCCTACACAGGGTCTCTATGAGTCAAAATCGACTGGACAAAGACACAACATAGGATCATTATATTATGAGTCGGAAGTGACTTGCTGGCAGTGGGTTGTGGATACTGGGAGCTTCAACCTGGATAGATGTGGCCCCTTTATCCCACCTTCCACTAAAACCTGACCTCCCACCCCTCACTGATTTATCCACGGGGCCATAGCAAGCCCAGGGCCCAAGATACTTTTGGAGACCCATATAAATGTTTTAATTTCATTTAAAATTAGAAGGAAAAAGAAAATGTTTTAGTATCAAATATTCATGTATTTGTCTGTATACCAATGCAGTCATAAAATATTACTTTAAATATTTGTGTGCGTGTGTGTGGAGAAAGGGGCCCACGGAAGTCTTAATCCACCCTGGCCCCTTCCCTTTCTTGGAAAGTTAACTCTTCTGGCCAAGGTCACCAGCCAGAGCTCGGGATTGGGAGAGATTGGGAGAGGTTGGGAGGGGGAGGAGAGAGCCCCACAGGACCTCTCTGGTGCCCTCTGCTGGTTGCTGCTAAAAAGACACTTGCCTTTCCCGGGACCCTTCCAATGCCCCTGATTTGTCTCCTGCTGGAAAATATATCGGAATTGGAATGAAATGGGGAACTATAGCTGGATTGGGTCAAATGCCGCTGATTCATAGCTATGTGAATCACACACACATGCACAGCACACACGACACACAAAACGCTCACATATACATACAGAAACAACATATATATATATATTTGTTGTTGTTAAGTGCCATCGAGTCGGTTCCGACCCATAGCGACCCTGTACAGGGTTTCCGAGGGTGTAAATCTTTACGGGAGTAGAAAGCCTCATC